GGCCCCTTCTGGTATAAATAGGAGCTTTCACTGCTGTTGGGAAAGTCCTTGGAGAATGCAAATCTAGATTAAAGACTGGTACGAGTTTTGGGAACTTTTCTGGCTCAAGGGTTGCATTTATGTTGTCCAGTGAGAATTGTGTGAGGAAACAACATAGAGCTAACTCCTTCTTACTAACGTTTCATTCTTGAAACATCTGTTAGCTAATTGGTTTTTTTCCACCTTCTTGCACTATCCTGTTGTGCAATGATAAAATCTCATCATCTCAGTTTCCCTGCTTCCCAGACTGTTCTGTTTATTGGGAACAACAGAATTTTCCAATTAATATTTCTAAAGAGAAACAACTGCTTTACAATGGAACATTTGATTCATTTTATTTATTCTTAGCTGGCACTGATTGATTCATAGAAATTTCTTTGGAGCACCGTTTTTCTGTAGCATTAAATAAACAACTACAGCAATTGCAGAACTCCTGCAATTGTAAAGTCTCAGAGACTGTCAAATACAAAACAAAATACTAATAAAGATATCCAATTGGCTTTAATTTAATTACTTCAATTTTGTGCTCATAATCTTGGAAATGGAAATACCAAATTTTAATTTCAAAAATAAATTTATTATTCTTACCCAGAAAAATAGAAATGCATTAGAAGCACAGCCTTTTGTTTGTAAAGTCATCTGTTCAGAGGTAAAGAAATCCCAGATGAAAGCTTGCTGTGCAGCTGCAAATGTCTTTATTTTTACCTAATGGCTATCTCATATAAGGTAATTAAAGGCCTGCAAGAGAAGCTGAAACACAGGAGCCTCTGGTTCTATTAATTTTTAATCACTGTACTGCAGAAACATAAACTTATATTACATCTTGTATGGGAAGAGCTTAGTCATGGGGTTTCCAAAGTGCTCCTGCATCAGAGCTGTGAGCAGTCTGGTGGCGACGACGTTCACCCGCATTTGGTGGCACATTGCTCACAGGTCATCATTTGCCAAACAAACCATCTGGCAGGGAAACCAGTCTGAGAAAAAAACTGCCATCTCTTGCCCTTGGCTGCTTGTTCCTGCTCTTCAGCTTTGCCAGTACAGAGATTTGTAGGGCCCTTGCAAACCAGATGACCAAAGTACTTCAGTCTACAAAGCAGCTTTGCAGTCACAATGGCACAACTGAGGGACAGTGAGCAGCAGTGTCAGCACAGAGCAGAAAGAGAATGTTTTCAGCTGATTTTCCACAGAAAGTGTAATGTTGAACCTTACCCACAGGCAAAGGGGAATTTTAACATGGGACTTGTACATCAGAGATGAGTGCTCTAACCAATGAACATCAGATGAGAATCTCTTGTATTTGAAAGGAGAAGAGTGACCTTTATTTCATTTAGAAAAGAAAAATGGTTGGCACCTGCCTTCTGGTTAGGAATTTGAATTCTGAATCTAAAACAGAAACATCTCCCAATAAGCAGCAGTAAGGAAGCTTTTAAATCTTATCCCTGGATCTTTTATATATATATTTTTTTTTTCGTTTTCATTTAGCTTAGTACTGCAAGTTTTCTCTCAGAAGTTGTGATCGATCTACTTATATGTACATCAGTCACTGCTGTTACTAGGAAACCATTGGGTTTTTCCTCTAAAGAATTGTTATAAATAAGCACCATGCCATGAAATAAGATCCTTGTGTATACTGCCTCGGCTTCCAACATAATTAAGATCAGGAAAAATCTAATTTAATGTAATTTACTGGGTTACATTAAATTTTCTTGATGGATCATTCATACCTAATTGCTTTGGACTGCAGCTTCATTGCATTCTATAATCCTGAGAGTAAATTTGAATAAAGGATGAAGCAGGCTGAGTAATACTTATGTTTCCAAGGTCTTGTCCTGGAACAGAAAAAAAAAAGCAACTTTTCCTCTGTAAGCCCTGGGGGGAAAAACCTCCCCCAGCTCCATTGGTGTCTTCAGGTCATGAAATCTGGGTGAATTAAATTCATCTTGTGCTGACTTCAGAAGAATTGTAGAGAAGAGTTAGTTTTGTGTTCTTAAAAGCAGCTGTGGTACCAAAGAGCTGCAAAATCCACAAACAGTATTCTTATTATTCTTCTTCTGTCTTAACCTTTTAAGGCCCAAGTATGACTGACGGAGGAAACTTAGAAAGCTGTGCAACTTTAATCCTTCACTGCAAATACTTTACCTGTATCTTTAGTTTCAAAATCCTGACTGCTGACATAACGTGTCACTGCAGTACCTACTAAGGCTCCATAAGATTGATCAGATGTATGAATCTTAAAATAATATTTAGGAATGAAAATAAAAGAATCTATTACAATATAGAATTTCCAGTATGTGATATGCTGAATTTTAACAAAAATCTGAAAAGTGCCCTAAATTTTGGAAATTTACTACTTAGCAGTCTTAAGTCAACTTGGAACCTTTGGGCTATTTTATTATTTTGCCACCATCATTTTCTTATTCATTTATTGAAGTATATTAACATAGTTAATTGGTTTTTTTTAAAAAAAATATGTTGAAAGTAAACATATTGCCTAGATCCATTCTTCCCAAACTTGTAACTTTTCTATTACCCATAGCTCTCCCATTTCATTTGCACCAATGTCCTCTACTCTTTTCGTTATTATTGTCATAGATTGATGCTATATTGTTCAGCTTGAACCTCAACCAGACATCTTAGACCTCTTGGCTCTGTTAAGTGTGCCTTAATCTTTTCAATCTCTCTGTCTCTCTTCTATTTCACTACATGTCCTAGCAGTTAGGAGAGAAGAACTCTCCTCCTTAAACTCTTCGGCTGCAGAGTGCAAAAACTAGCCCTGTTGTGACATTTAGCATCCACAAATTTTCCTTTAAAGAACAGCAAGGGATGTGCTGGCTTTTGGAAATGAAAGACCTGAACTTAATTTCCTTTTTAACCCTAATAGGTTCAAATTCATCTTCTACCTTCTAAGACATTGCCTAAATTCCTTAGCTAGAAATTAGCAGCTAGAAATTAGTGTATTAGGGGCACTCTTCATCACTGTATTAAAGCTACACTTAACTACAAAAGTGGATTTAAAATTAATTATACAAGATACAGCAGATGACACAAAAAGGCATGAGTTTAGGGAACTCTGTATTTAGTAAATCTCTTTGTTCCTGCTCATTGTCACAGGGATTGTTTTATACTCTTTGGATAAAATACATTAAGAGAATGAAGGAAAATTTTATCTTGACATACTTTATTTATCTTTATTAGTAGGAAAGAGACAAATTTTACATAGGAAATCATGTGCCTGGTTTAACAGTTCCTTATGGCATTTAAAAGACATATGATTCTGTTTCTGGGTAAAAGGAAAGCAAGATCTTACTTCCTGAGAAGGAAATGTGACAGATTTGGAATACCAAATTAAAATCTTGAATCATTCATCTTCTTATGTTTAGGTTTGCATTAGATTAAGCAATAAAGTGACAATAATTGTGATGTAATCCCAAATAAAAGTAAAACATTAATAAAGGCCTTATTTAATATCATGATTAAAAGTTGGTCAAAGCAATAAAACCTTTAAGACTATTCACAAACATTATCACCTACTGTGTAGCTCAGAACTCACAGTCACCATAAACTTTAATTCAATTTGATGTAAAATCTTCTTGAAGCAGAAAACATTTAAACCTTTCATGTCAGTGAAATTTTGGTAGCCAATGTTAATTTAACCCAATGAATGAAGAGTAAAAATATACATCAAAAATTCATCCTGCTTGCTTGTACTGTGAGAGGGATTTTATGATCATTAACAAGCCAGTGGGAATTCAGATTCTGGTTTTATTGTCTTCATTGTCACTAAGATGTACCTTTTATTCTATTTTTCATTTAGTTGGATTTTTCTCTGTCTTGGTCCCAGCATTGGTCTGATAGTCTCATGTTCAGGGGGAGCCATGGGGTTTTTCATGAGGAAGTCAGTAACGTGTTATGATCAAACTTTTCCAAATGCAAGTGAGGAAAAGTTTTCCCAAGTCCGGTGAACATCATCCTTGGTTCCTATTGGGCCAGGTGCTAACTGTTTTGAAACATGTCAGCATGTCAGTATTCTTTAGTATTTGAGTCTATACCATTGCAGCTATTCTTTACCATCTCTGTGGTTGACATAAAAATATGATTTTGCATTTCTACAGGTAAGAAGTGTATTAAGATATTTTTTAAAGGATTATGTAAAACCATTTTAAATCCAAGCTTCAATATACATTAAAAAAAAAAGATACATTGCACAAAGATATGCATTTTGGAAGTTTGCTTTTTGTTACTTATTAAATTTCAATTTCAAAAGGAAATATGAGGTAGGAAAACTATCAGGTTATAGAATTGGGTCATTAGGGTTACCTGAGTTTCATCACTGGCTTTTCACATGTGGCTTCCCATCTTGCAGATTAAAGCAATGGTTATATGACATTTACAAGCCTGTCTGGAAAAGTGCACATCCTGGCACATCCTCCTCCCAAACAGTATTCTCCCATGTGAACCATATCCCACTGCCAGTTCCTTTTGGAATTACAGTGGTGCTGTGCTTACCTGACAAACTGGCACCATGTTCAAAGGCAGTATGTAAATGAAGTGGGATTTGTGGGACTAATCCCTTTGAAACTCCTGGCATTACCTTCTTGGGCAGCGCTTCAGGTAAAAAATAACAAAAGTTATTTGTGAGTCCTAACTGACATAACTAAGACTTATTAAGCAGAAAATGCACAAATACGACACTCTGAAACTTTGAAAAATAATTCTGATCCTAAAATATTTCTGAGTTGCGTCTGGGGCCTTTTGCCTTGGCTGGGAATCTGTCAGCCACGTGTGCCCTTAGCCACAAGGAAGGCCCTCTTCTGCAGCTCCAGAAGGGCCCAATGAAGCAACTGTTCTCCAGGCACTCTGGCACCATGGGACACTAGGAGGTTAATCCACTGGAGTCTGTGTCCGTGGTGAAATCTTCAAAGCCCACTTACATCCTGGGTGTTCATGTCTCTCCTCTCCAGGTCACAGCCTCGGCTCAGCGAAGGTGTCCCGGGCGCAGACATTTCCCAGCTACCCGTCGGAGCAGGGTGAGGAGCACCAGCAGCCGCTGTCGCTGGCCAGCAGCTATGCCTTCAGCTACGGCTCGGGGCTGGTGCAATGACAGCCGGGGGCTGCTGGCCCACATGGACAGCTGAGCCTGGAGCCTCCCGTCAGGACCGGGGAGCCGCTGGCCCCCTCTGCGCCCACCATTTGCCGTGAAAACTGATGCCTACCAGCTCCAGCCGGGGCGTCGCCAATGCGGAAACCTGGAGAGGCGGCTTCCCCGAAGCAGAGGCTAAGTCTTTATTTATTTATTTTGCCGTTCCTTTTGTCAATATGTTCAGAAAAGAGGGGTTTGGGGGGTTGGGGGAGGGAGGAAGGGGGACACGTCTGTGTTGTAAGAAAGTGGTGGAAACAAATGAAACTGTGTTGGTTGGTGTGAAGGTTTCTGCATGACCGGAGAAGGTCCCTTCTGGGGCTCCATTGCAATGGCGCGTTTGACGCTGGGGCCTTCCTTCCCGCCCCCACCAGAAGGACAGCCTGTCTTCACCCACAACCTCTGTAGGTCCTTGCCACAGCCTACAATTCCCGCTGGAGGCACTGAAATGTCACCTACTCAAGATGCAGCATCAGTGCTGCTAGGGTCACCTCCAGATCTGAGTGGGCTCACTCACTGCCCTAGAGGGTGGTTGGGTGTTTTTTGAGCCACACACCAACAAATAGTGGAGCAGCAGGCTGATATGTTTTGTTGGGAATAGGGTTTGGTGCATTAAGGTAAGGTTATTGCCTGGTCCAGCTCTAATCTTAAATTCCTGGGGCACAAATTCATCCCTTACACGTGCAATTTTCACCATGCCCCTAGGAGCTGTGAACATCCCTATCAGCAGCATAGTCTAGTCCTCAGAACGGCTGCAAAGTCTTCTTGTTCGCAAATTATTTAGGTAGCCATGCCTGCAAGCCTAACTTTAAAAAGCGGGAAAACTGTTTTGTTTCAAACAAAAAAAAGTGGGCCACTTGCCCAGCTGGCAACCGCCTGTGCCACGGCTGGGCCAGACATGGTAGAGCTGAGCTCTGGTCTTGTCTTTCTGGTCAGCGTTACTTTGATTTTCTGTGTTTCCTTCTCAGATTTCTGTTCTAGATGCACATTGTATCTTGTATGATCATGTGTCAAGCATCTGTTTACTCTCGAAAGGAGGATGAATACCTCTCAATGGAAATTTTCTGTCTTTGGAAGACGTCTTTAAAAAACGAACTGTAGTAGATGTTTGTAATCAGTAATGAGGGAATAAGTTGGAAGGCATACCTGTAGGTGAGGAATGAATTTTATCTATCCTGAACATTTAGATTTTTGTAACTGTTATCGAATATTTATGTACTCCTTGTGATGCCCTGAAATGTTTGAAATTGTGAGGAGAAAAATTTGCCCTCTTGTTTGTATGATCTGAGGAGCCTTGTGTTCTGTTCCCAGAGTGAAACTATTGCCATGATTACCAGAGGGATTCAGTTCATTGGTTGTTTCTCAGGACGGGTTGAGGAAATGTACCAAGGAGGATACACATAGACTCTTTTCCAATGAAACAATCGGGTTTATGTACTATAATTTAACTGAAAAAATGCTGTTGGGTTGTTTTATATATGCACATTATATATATACATATATATATATATGTATTAAAAGGTATGGAAGAAACTTCTGCTTTTGATTAAACATTTAATGATACAGTATGATCAGCTTTTCTCCAACCATTTTCCTGGCTGAGACCTTGCAGACTTAGAGCTTTCAGTGAACGGCTGCTGAATAAAAAAGCTTTGTGATCCACTTGAATGAAACAGTTCTACCCCACCACAATCACCTTTATTTATTTTTTCCCGTTTTTCCTTGTCTCATTCACTACCTCTTTTCCTTCTCACAGTGCTGCCATACTCAGGAATAGAATGGCTCCCTGCAGAGAGTATTTTGATGAGCTAAAATGAAAAACTGCTCTCCCACGCTGTCAGGGCACTGTACCTATGGTGCTCTCAGAGCTGTACCCATCAAGGAAGCTTCATTCACACTTTCAATTAAGAAAAAGATTCAGTTGACATTTTGCTTAGGGAAAAAATTCCAATTTTCAAACTTTAAATGTGAAATTTGATACAAAACAATAATGGTGTGATTCTGTTACTCAGTGCAGCTTTGCCAAATATTTGCCTTTTGGGGAAATGGCCAGTTATTTTTATTCCTTTGCAACTGAGATTCATTCACTTGCCCTAAAATTATGTATATTTTCTTTGAAACTCCTTAGATTAAGTTTTCAATATGTCCTACAGTTTTCAATGCTGTGTCCAAGTAACTTTCTTCCTCTGTGACTAAAATACTAGTCATTTAATAATTACATATTTTACACAACCCAAAACGGGGAAAAGGCAAAGCAGAAGCACATAACTGCTTTCTAGTTCCAGTGTCCATATACTTTAAGAACCTATCTAATTCCTCAGCCTAGTACTTCAACTGTATTTCTATCAAAAGCATAAGGTCTATATAATGTTCTTTTTTCATTTTCTGGGGAACACTTGCTGTTTGTGGCTCTGTCTTCCTATGCAGTACCTGAGTATTGCCAAGTTAATGAAAATGTAGATGCTATTTTCAAAGAAAACACACAAAAAAGGGAGGGAAGGGGGCATTATAGCAGTTTTGGCTATATATATGGCCATACATAGCAGTTTTACTAAATATTTTCCTTTCATTGCATAATGCAACCATCTTCTCAACTCATACATTTATAAAATATCTGTGAGGTCTCCCTCCTACAATACACAGAAAATTGAACAAAGCTACAGAACACAACCAATCTATAGCAAATCTGACCAGTTGGGAATCTATTTCTTGTAGAGACCAAATATAAGCACACTAGAGTTTGAAAATGAGGATGCAACTTTGCAATGTAACACAGCCTAAGACAACTGGTAACCTGAAGCACAAAAGTATTCAGGAGCCAGTGGATGCTGCCTTTAGTGCCACTCCAGAACAGCAGATGATATCACTGTAACACTGATGTATTCACACAGCTTCCACAAATGTTCCTCAGAAAAGCTCCATGAGAACCAGGCAGACACTGTGACAGCAGTGTGCCAGAAAATTCTGTTTTCATGGAATTGCTTTAATTCCTAGCATATGCCTGATGATAACCTAAGTGATGGCCACTGAGACTACTTTGTACAGCTCCCAGTGCTTCCACCAGAAGGAAAACTCTCTTTTGGAACACATGGTAGAGCTGCCTGCCTAGAGACTACAGAGGCCTTTAAATAGACCCAGGGACCCCATGGGACCCTGTTCCAGTCTGGGCTTTCTTCCTGTGCAAGGCACACAGACTACTCCTGACCCAAGAGTTGCTCTCTGTTTTCAGCTAATGAGCTGTGAAGGAATGGAGGGCAACAAAATGTCTTAAGTGGTAGCCAGGTGCAGCTGGTACAAATGGAACCTAGCATTAATATGTGATAGAAGAAATAAAATAAGGCTTTTGCTTTTGTTTCTGTTTTGGAGGACATGATATGAATGTATAATTGTGACTGTGATTTACTTTTTTTTTAATCACCCTTTGATAACAATATATTCACCCCTATGAACCAATAACACATGACATTACTAAATATAGTTACTAATATGTCTTTACTGTGAATATTACAGATTGATGCATGCTGGTACTTTTGATTTTGAAGTCACGATGCAGAAAAGGTGAAATTGAAAGAGACTGCTAATAAATCATGACATGGTGCTAAGGAACTTGAATAGTCCCATTTTTTTAAACAGCCACCTGTCATTATTTCTAGTTTAAACCGTCTGTGAGTATACTCCTTTGAAACAATTTCATCTGCCCATGTAAAGGAAAAAGAAGAATCTCTTGTAGCAGGGACTTTGAGGTTTTTCTGAGTAAATATTCAGACATTACTTTTTGTGGCAGACATGTGGTCACATGTATCAAGTTCTGTCCTTGAGAGGTTTTGCTATGTTTGTTTTCTTCTTTTTTGGTTCCACAAAAGCTACAAGTAAAACTTGAAAATGTATTGACAAACCAAAGGAGTTTGTTGAGACATTGACAATGGCTGCTTTCTTTTGTTTTGTCAAAAGTCTACCATGACATTTTGGGAAAAATATTTCATTCCACAATACATGTATAGGAATCCTGTTGGGATGCAGAAAACTATAATCAAGTTTTGTTCTAAGTTAATAAGACTTTGCTGGAAGAGGGGTTGAAATTGAGTGTCTGAGGGCAAAAGTGTTTTAAAGTGCTCTCTATAGCAATAATTTAAGTACAAAATACAGCCTTCAGGCACCCATTTATTTAGAAGTTGCTAAAGTGCAGGCAATCTGTGACGACCCTTACCTGCTTACGGCAAAGAGAAAAAAAGGTCAATCGTTAATCATATCTGTGTACTGCATTTATTAGAAAAGGAATTAACTTCATGCTTGTTCAGCTTTCCAGTCTAAAGGGCAACGCTATGAGGAGTAGGGTTTTCTGAGATATTTGATCTCTAGAACTGACAAAGACCATCAGCCTGTAGCATATAAACCTCTGCTCAGACTTAGCTCACCAGCCACATGTGCTAGTTTTCATCTGGTAACCTAGAAACTGCAGGGTGGTTTTCCATTAGAAAATATAACTGTCCTGAATGGCTGTGCATTTTAGCCTGAAATATATAATTATTTACAAAATACTAAAAAGGAAGGAGTAATGAGTTCCAATTAATCTCTGCTTTAGTGTTTAACATCAGTGTATTTTGGCTCTTTTTTATACCTGCTGCAAAGGAATAAGTGTGGCTTTTATCCACACACGGAATGGAGTGAATAGTGGAAAAAGTGTGAAAAGCTTCTCTTTGATTATGAGAATAGATCCAAAAGCACCAGAAAATTTAATTTTTCTATCATTCAAATACCTGTGACTCTTTCCAAACACACTTATTACACAACAGGATATATTAGAATTTTACATTTTTAACCACAGAGAACTGGTGAAAATGCCCATCTGTGTTTTGTAAGTAGAAGGCAATGACTGTGCAACACCACTGTAGTGACATAACTTTAAAATCAAAGGGCTGGATATATGAATTCTGCAGTAATAAATTCTTGCACTGCATGAAGGGGGCTGTGTTTGTACTTGATATTATAAATAAATGCTCTTCACTTTTTATTTTTGATAAAAAGGTGAGGTATGTTGGAAACTAGGATAAGCTTATGGTGGAATGAAAGAAACTACAAAGAATATTGACTCCCTTGTTGTAACAAGAAGTTTGTCTCCCTGTCCAGGTCCTTAAAAGACAGTAAAAGGTGATGGGTAAAGGTCTTGTGTATTCAGCAATTATTTAAATTGCATTGTGATTAGAAACTGCTGGCATAATTAGAATCTGCTGGCAAAGTGATGCTATTGAAGAAAATGGAAGTTTCACTTTGCAAGGATTTTACAAGCTTATGCAGCTTGACAGATTTTTACAGACACAATTAAAACCCATGAAAGTAACTGAGGTTTAAGTATGATTAAATATAATTAAAGAATTTGAAAATGTCCATATTGTTATGAATATTGCTAGCTGTAATGGAGACAGTATTTCCTTTTAAACTGAATGCAAGCTCAAAAAGTAATAGGCTCTCTAATATAATGCAGTTAATCTTTTTAAAAATCACATTTAAAGTGCCAAAGAATTCATTTCATTGGGGTTTTTTGTTGTTTTGATACAGAGATCTTCATGAGGTTCAACAGATTTACTATGTTTTCTTACAAGCCTGAAATTGTCAAGTACATTAATGTATTTTACAGTAAATTTTTTCCTGTGAGAATGTTTGACATGAATGAAGTTAATTTTTAATCAGCTGACACATTGTTTTCAGTCTTTTTAAAAAATTGTGTGATAACAAGTCAGAGTCGGCATAGAAAATAGCACAAAATTAATTGGCTGGTTTGGCAATTCCATACCAATAACCAAAATAAGGGTTTCAGTTAAAAATTTATTTTCACCACTGCTCCTATACTTAGAATAAATTACATAAAATAAAATTTTCCTTGTGGATGTTTGTTGTCACATTTCCTGAGTTTCCACAGATGACGGGCTGTGACAGGAGATATCCAGAACTGCTTTTTTGAAATTGTTTTGATTTAAGATGGTTGAAAGGAAAAACAGAAAATACATGAAAATAAGAAGTGTTATGACTTCTTACCAAAGAATGACACATGCTCACCTTCTATGTCTTTGAAAATCATCATTATAGAAAGGTAGAGAAATTTATGAAAGGAAGTGAAAAATGTGGTAAGAAATCAACAAAAAATAAAACCAGATTCTGTAATCTTTGAAAATATTAGGAGAAATTGGCAAACACTTAAGCACACAGCAGTGGGCCATGTTGAGCACAAAACACTTTCCCATAGCATTCAACTCCTTCATCAGGAGCTGGAAACAATTTTGTGTGTTCAGTCTGATTCACAGCTCTACATTACTCTGTACAAAGCATGATGGGCTCATTTTCCCTAACCTGGCTGGAAGAACCAATTACCAGCCTGCCTGACATGAATTATGCAATACAGAAAAACAGTATTTTGCACAACCCACTGCCAATGTCATCACACAACTTTGTGGAACTCACTGCAGCCAGGTGTTGTCAAAAGTATGATTTAGAATATTTCACAGCTCATTGAATTTTGGGTGATATCTTCCTTAATGAGCCATAAAAATATATACAGAGGTGCTCAACCTTTTTGCCTCTAATTGCAAAATGTTCTGACAGAGTTCTGTAGGAAGGTTCCTCCCATTCTAACATTGTTAGGTAAATTATAGACATTTCAAAGAAAATAATAAATGTCTGGAAAAGAGTTTTATTTCAGAGGGGAAAAAAGAGTATTGAAGATTAATTTTAATTAATTTTCATAAAGATTAATTTAATTATTAGAGATTCATTTTAATACATACAAATATTTCTAACATACATTCCTCTTTCCAAATACACATCAGCATGAACAGAGAAAAGTATTAAAGAAAAAAGAAAGATACTGTGCTTTTGTTTATATCTTAGTATGATAACCTATTGATCACTTAAATAATTTTTTTTAAATTTACTGGTTAATGCTACAAATTAATTACTTAGTGTAACAATCTAATTGAATAAACTGTTAAGACAGGTATTAAATACCCTTTAGAACCACTGACATGCTTTTTTTGTAAAATTACAAAGTTTCTTTTTAAGTAAGCATAAGGTTAGAAGAAATATGTCAGCCATGCTAGCAATTCATATTAATTATATTATCTAACTATACAGGCTAACAGTGCAGATAGTGCGGAAATAATATTTTGAAATTTGTGTTAGATACCTTTGTACATTTCCTTTGATATTTCTAGCTCAAACATTATATCCTAATTATATGTAGGGATATATAACTCTATAGCAGAGATAGTAAGGTTAATCTACAGTTTATAAATCAAGCCTAATCAGGGCCAAGAAGTTGGCTGCCACCATGCCACGGGACTGACTAGAGCAGTGGCACTAATCAGTCCTGTGGCATGGTGGCAGCTGACCTCAGTAGTGTGGCAGCCTGCCCCAGTAGTATCTGAGCACACACAGCTGAGGCTGTCTCAGTTTTCCTGAGGCTCCCCTGCTTTAAAGGCAATGTTGGCAAACTCATCACTCATTTATCCCTTGGTTATCCAGATGCTTGTCTTCTTCTCATAACTCTCAATGCATTATACTATTAGAAAAGAAAAACAACAACAAAAAAGGTATGGACAAAAGCAGAGACAAGCACCCTCTTGGTAGAAGAGTGTCCTACCAAGCCCTGCAGGATCTTCTTCATCCTAAAAATATGAGTTTTTTCTGTGCAGGAGCCCAGCTTCAGAGGGGATAGAGCGTGCTTACTTGTCTGATGCAGGCTGGGAGAGGACTGGGAAGGGTCTCCCATTTCCTGAGTGATTTCACAGGTATGATGCTGGATGAACCAGCATTTCATATGGCAGTGAAAAGCCTGGTCCAGTTTAGTGTTTGGAAGACTGCTGTGGGTCTCCAGGCTGGGGTGGAGCCATTTGCCTGAGATATCAAAGGAGTAGTGATCCCCTGAGCCCACACAAACCCTGACAGCACACGCCAGCAAGGCACAGCTGTGAAGGTGTGTCTTGTGCTCTAGCCTAACAGGGTTCTCCAGGAATGTGTGCGTTTTGGAAATATTTTTTATGTTGCCTTACTTACACCTTGAACAATACAGTCTGAGAACTTGGCAGACAGCTTCTACTCCTGGGGTCTGCAGCCTAAAAGAACATTTTAGCACCTATCTTGTAGACAGAGGGGCTGGTTTTGGAAATAACCTTTAGTGTCAGACTTAAAAAGCTGTTCAGAGGATTAATTCCTACTGAGCATCTCAGCTTTGAAGGAAATTGCACTAGGGAGTAGTCACTGAGGCAGAGTTTCAGCTTCTGTAAATAAATACCATTGATCTGGGTTTTCACAGAGCTCCATAACAGAGTATATTTAAAGGAGCATGATGCACATGAAATTTTAAAGTAAATTTGAAAAATCAGAGTCCTGGTGCCCTGATATCTTTATAATTCCAAAAATAATAATCATGACCCTTAAAAAAAAAACAAAACCAAAAAACAAAAAAAAAACCACACAAAAAAGCACAGAAACAAACAAACAAAACAAAAAAAGCAAAGCACCCTAGAAATGAAACCGGTAGTGAGATCATTCCTCTGAACAATCCTCTGAATATTAAATCTTTCCTTTTTCTGAAGGAGTGTTTCTTATTTGGAAGTCTCAGGAGTAAACTAGCAAGTGCTGGTCCTCTCCTCCTGTCCCCTAGTCCTGGGACAAGACCTGGAGAGGAGGCAGGTGGTTAAGTTGCACAGTATAGTTAGAACAAGCATTCTTCAAACAGAGAAGGTGGGTGGGAATTTAGGTCAGGTGAAGATCATAAAGAAGGTTAATTGCTGAACTACCCTTCCAAAAGAGGGGGTGTCCAGCTTTTTGTGTTCCTTGGTGGGTCCAGCCCTTAAAACAGCCTGTTTCCTCACATTGTTTTACCCCAAGACAAGGGAGAGCAGAAGACTAGCAGAAGGAGCAGTATCATTGAACTTATTAGAGTCAGAGAAGTTCTTTAAGGTAAAGAAATGTGTCTGAAATTAATAAAGAAAATAACAGGTTCTAACTTTCACCTTCTTTCATATACTGTTTCTTTTTCGTCCTGTTGATTCAAGCTCTGGTGACTGCTTTTCCTACATTCATTTTTCAAAGAGATTTGAGTTTACACTCTTTAAAGACTTAGTTGTACTACTGATTATTGAATATCCCTTTGAAGACTGAATTTAAACATTTCCCTTTTTGACCCAATGAAAAAGATTATTTTTATTATTATGAAAAATGTTTTACTTTTCTTTAATCTCATATATTCATTTTCAAATCACACAGATGGTAGTTACCCTAGAGTACCCTTCAATGTATTCAAAACTCATTTTTTTAATGACAATATATTTTATTACATTTATTTCCTTTCAGCAAAGTTTCTAAGACCTTAAAAAACCCTCAGAACTATTTTACAGTTTAGATGGTATGCTGAGCTAGTTGCTATCCATGGTTGTGTCATTTTGCTTCATTGATTCTTTTTTCCTCCCTCTTAACTATTTGAGCAAGTGATGTAGCATGAAACAGCACAGTAACTGTTTAACATAAAATTTCCAAATTACAGTTGATGGAGTTTATTCAGAAGAAATTTTTAAAATTCCAAAAGGAAAGGACAAATCTATGGGAAATATTGAAACTAAGCAGCAATAAACAATGGTTTGTTTACGCTGGAAAGTCTATTTACATAATCCAAACACCAAATATTGGGTCCCAACCTGCCAGACTCATAAAATATTTAAAGAGTTATAATATTGCATTTCAAATTGAGCTTTTGGAAGTTTCTCTTGTATGTATCTTGCTAGTTTTTAAACCAATAAGAATGTTGATAAGTTTGGGGTTGTTTTCTTTTTGGTTTTAATTTGTCACTTGTTCAGCTGCTGTTCACTGATATTACTATGGTACAGAAATGAAGCTGTTGTTTTGGGATTGTTTTTTGAAAAAAAATAACATATTGTTCTTATTATGCTATGTGTGATGTGATTTACCCTGTGGATTATCCTACTGGTAGAACTAATATGTTTATGGAATTTGAATTAAAACAGATTACATACCTGCAAAGGAGTGCACTATAGATTTTGTTTTGTCTTCAAATCTCAAAAATAAGCAATTGTTTCAAAAAGACAAGCTGAAAGTACCAAGAAAAGAAATAAGGGCAGTACCACAAATAATCAAAAGAATCTGGTATTCCAGATATTTAACCTCAACTTCTCCCCATTTTTTACCCTCAGTAAAGCAGGGATGTATTCTGACGTTCTCTAAAAGCAGTAAAACAATATCATCTTCTCAGCTTATGGATGTTTGTGTATCAGGACTCCAGCTGAGACCTTCTGTGTAATCAAATCCATTACATTGTTATTTTTGGCATTTTACTATCGGGGCATCATAAGAAATGACCCAATGCTACAAGGTTTCATTTGTAAGGCTGTGCACAAGTTAGAATTATCTGCTATGACATTTGATAACTCAGGAAATAAACCAACTTGTTAGTAGTACAGTTCTGTGTATCCTCATCAATTTCACATTGAAGCATTTGTATACCTGAAAACCTTCAGCAAGTGAAATTAAAAAAAAAAAAAAACATTCATTGCAACATGTCCTTGTTCAGGAGTACAGAAAACCAAAAGATGTTTTTAATGGTATATGACATTGTAAACAATTTAAGTCTTCAGTGTAATTTGAAAGGACACTTTAGTTTAGGATTTTAGATTTTTAGCTGAAGTGTAGGATAACCACATGACGCTCTTATTGCTCAAATAGTGAAGAAAAGCCTTGTGTCCATCTTATTCTCAGAAAAAACTAGGTTCCTATTTTCCTGTGCACGTGAAGAAAGATTTCCACTGGGGAAGGCTGTGCAAAATGTGCTTTTCACTGTCAGGCTGTGATGCCCTTCCTAGCCAGCCAAGCAGAACTGGTACCTTATTTGTAGGCAGGTTCATGATGCCTCCACCACTAACCCCTTTCAAAAAAAACCCAAACAAAAACTCCAAACGCCATATCCAGCAACATTTTTGCATATGTTTCAAGAGAAAAGTGGAATCAGGCATAGGTGGGCCAGGCACACAGTTTGCAGTATGTTGACACAGATGATTATCAGCTGTCATGGTAACAACACACCTTCTCTTACTGGGATTCTGTCCTCAGTAATTCAGCGGATTTGTAAAAGGCCAAAAGATGCATAGATCCTAATTCTCAGGTCTGCCTTCTAGTTCTGTTTTGTTTAATGATTTTTTTTGTCTGTTTGTTCAATTTCTGTGTGATTTCTTCTGTAGGTTTCGGCAGAATATATACATATGCACACATACAAATACATATGTATGTGTATTGTTTTGTAAATGTTCTCAGTCATGCTTTCTTCTGCTTTGCACCATTTACTCATATACCTTCCATGTTCTCATTTATTTTTTGCTCAATTAAACCTTACAATAAATTATTAAATATAACCTGGCAGTGACAGAGTCTTCCTGCTTTGTTTTCTTCTGGGCATGGGGAGGAGTGAAGGGGGTGAAGGAGTGGGAGAGGAGAGCAGGGGCTACACTTCAATTGCATCCCCAAAAAGAAAACCCTGAAATTACTCTGGTGAGTGGCAAGAAGCCTGTAAAACCACAAAGCTGTCAGATACCAAGCTGCTGTTCATACTTTTAAATCTAGGTTCAAGGAGCCCTGATACATTTGCTTTTGTCAGCTGAATAGCACTGTTTGCCCGGCAGCAAAATAACACCTCCTGTGTGGAAAATCATGGGTATTTATTATTCCATAGAGCTCTCAATTTGAGATGCAAAAACCATGAACACCGACAACATTAAACACATTTTCTTTCTCACCCTGTCACATAGGCTTCTCATACACATAGATTTCTCAGACCAAATTAAGTTTATGTAAACGTATGCAGCTCCATTCTGCATATTAGAGTGTTCTAAAACTGATCCTTAAGAGTCCACCTACTAGGTAAAAGTGTTTCCATTGCAGAAGGACAAATAGTCTCTAATCCTGCTTATGAATTATGGGATAGGGTAACTCTGCAGGCTGCAATACAACACCAACACAACCAGTTGTGGTTCTCGTCGCTGTCCTGCCAAAGCAGCTCAGGCCCAAGCAGCTCAGGCCCTACCAGCACAACCAGTTTGACCTTCAACATCTTACCAGCACAGAGAAAATAAAGTATATTCTGTAAATAAAAGGCCTGTGCTTTGATTGCTTCATTCTTAAGAAATAACCTAATGATCTTTTCTTATGTTTTTGTGAGACATTTTTGCAGTTGACATAAATCTCCTCTGTCTGCCTGAGTGATGATTATTCTCCTCTTCTTTCTCTGCTGTGTATGCCATGAAAATTGGATCTTCCATAACTGTTAGAAGAAGGCTAGAAGAACATTAAAAGGAAAAAAAAAAAAAAGGAAAGAAAGAAAAAGTTGAAGGACTTTTCTCAAAGCAGCTACCGCTTTGAAAAAGCAGAAAAATTTTTCTTCAGATGCTGACTTATTATTGGGAAGTATGAAACCATCAATAAAAATAGGGTTTTTCAGATCCAAGTCATATGAAAAAAAGAAGTTGCAGCTTGAATATGTTTCCCAGCTGTCTCACATCTGGCCCCTGATAAAGCACCAGTGAAATGCCCCTTCCCCTCACACACACTCTTCAGATACTGACGCAGTCTCTCCTACATCCATCTTAAAACATGATTATTCTGAAGCTATTGACTATGCTAAGAATTAGTCATTTCATTAAGACAACTAAATTTTACAGTGCTGGGTAAAACTGGTATGGAGGAAAAGTGGTTTCTGAAGCAAAAGACTGGTCTCTAACCTATGGCCACTCTAGGAAGAGCTTCATCCGCGTACAAACAGTGACCCAACAGTCAGAACAAGAGAAATCGGCTTAATCAGGACATATTGACAGTGACATTGACAGTGGAGCTTGTCACTGGATCATACAGGAGTAATATCTGGGAGGAGATAGGTGGAAAGGCAGTCTCACATCCACTGTGAAAATGGGGTCTCACATCCACCATGAACATTCATTTCCCTAAACACACCCCCGATTAAGAGTATGAAGAGACAAGACAGAAGCAGTGAAATTGGCTCCTTGTCTTTCCACTTCTAAACTTTAGGGCTTGAATAGGATTATTCGGGGGAGAAAAAAAGACTCTGTGTTCCAAAACACAGACTACTACGGAACAAAACCAAACCAAACCAAACCAAAACAAAACAAAAAAATAAAATAAAAAAGGAGATGCACTGAAACATCTATCCTAAAGAATTGTAGTGAAGCTGAACTGGAAAAAAACAGATATGACTAAGACAAAGAGTATCACACAATATGAATTTTTGCCTCAGTTTTACAAGTGATGACTTGAGGAAAAACGACATTTACAAAGACACAAATAATAAAAAGGCTATCAAATCAAAAGAGGTAATTTGTTGGTAACATAGACCAAAGTAGTCTCTAAATATAGCTGTAAAGCATTGAGGGGTATTCATGAAAAAATAATGAATAGTAGTAATAATATTTTAAAATCTTCAATTTTTCCTGTCTATATAATTTAAGCTTAGACTACAAGATTATGGGGATATAAAAAGTAGACACAGAAGAGAAAGATCTTAGTAAATATACAGTACAAACCATGAGTAAGCTTCATCTCAACAGGTGACCTTACCCAGATCTGAGTAGAGTACAAAGCTTTTGATAAAGCCTCTGTGATCCTCCTCTTCTTTCTGAAGACATACATTTAGTCAAAAACATAGTGAAGGAAACTGCATCATATATGATAGTATAGTCTAAATTATCTAATTCAATATAATGCTGATATTGCTGACTTTCTCACTGAAACCAATAAATACAATAAAAATCCAGGTAGACTTGCAAACTGCAACATACATGAGATTAGCACTGTGTCATAAAAGCCTGAAAAGTCCTTTTGATTTCGGGAATATGTTGCCCAAAAATTCCAGCAGCGGTATTATATGCAGCAAACTTAGGTAATGTTTGATAAGATACCTTAGATAAGGTTTAAACTATTAATTTGGATCCAGCTGTAAATCTGGAACATGAAATCAGAGCACAAAAAGTGCTAGAAGATGTAGAAAACTTCAATATATCACCTGTTCTCTGTGCTCAAAATAAGAATAGCAATGCCTAGCTTGATGTTGTTCCTGACAAATCATCCTTAACATGTAAAAACAATATCACAGTAAGCATTTAGCTGACAAAGGAACTTGAGTAAGCCATTTGTTTTCCCAATGTGGAAAAAAGGGAAAAAAAACCAAGAAAATGTCACTTTTTCATGGGCTGTAGAACTGATAGTTCTTTTTAAGTTTAAAATTTTGGTGAGAAAATTCAATTTTTTATGGATATCAGGGGTTTTTTGGTTCTGAGGGGGATAACAGGATGAGCTGTTAACACATCCATCCTTACCTGCTGCAGTATATTATGCAAATTGATTTATTACTCCCTTTTTTGTGACAAGCAGTGGTGATGAAGATCAGTAGGAAATCTAACATCGAAACAGCAGCAGAAATCCTTTCAACTAGGTAGGTAATAAACCATTTGTTGCAACCATTTTTTAGCAACCAAGTTGCTAAAATATAATCGCAATAAATACAATTCGTAATTTGTAAAAATAAAAATCAGCATGAACTTTTTATTACAAACTAAGCTGAAAAATCAATTATTATATAAAGACATTATTCCATGACAGCTCATGCTCAATATTCAGACTTTACAGCAATTTCCTCGTTTCTAAAAAGCCTTTGTTATGCTGAACCAGCTCTTAACAAAGTTGTGACTGGGATGACCAAAGATGAGTGAACACAGCACAGCAGTATGAAAAAAAAAAAATAGCTATATTTTATACCACCCTTTTCTATCTCCTTCCTTCCCTGGTGAGAAAGCAGTCCATACGTAACTTACTCAATAAAAGTTAAGTAGACTGAGAACGTCTACTTAAGTGAGTGTTCTTGGCTAACACAAAGCTGTGAGGAGTGGCCGATACCCCAGAGGGTTGTCTGAAAGCTGCCCTTCTGAAGGACCTCAATGGGTTGGAGAGATGGGCAGAGAACTGTCTGAAATTCAATGAGGGCAAATGCAGGGTCCTGCACTTGGAGAGAAATAGCTCAACACACCAGTACAGGCTGGGGCTGATCTTTGGGAAAGCAGAGAAGGATGTGGGGGTCCTGGTGGCCAACAAGCTGTCCATGAGCCAGCAGTGTGACATTTTGGCCAAGAAGGCCAATGGGATCCTGGGGTGCATCAGGAAGATCATTCCAGCAGGTCGAGGCAGATGATCCTGCCCCTCTATTCAGCCCTAGTGAGGCCACATTTGGAGTGCTACAGTTCTGGGCTCCTCAGTGCAAGAGGGACATGGAGCTCCTGGTGTGGGTCCACCACAGGGCAACAAAGGAGATCAAGGGGCTGGAGAGTCCCTTTTATGAGGAAAGTCTGGGAGAGCTGGGTCTGTTCAGCCTCGAGAAGAGATGACTGAGAGGAGACATCATCAATGTCATGGAATCACAGGATCAGCTCAGTGAGAAAAGCCTTTGAGATCGTCAAGTCCAACCTGTTAAATCCATAAGTATCTGAAGGGAGGGTGCCAAGAAGATTAATGAATCCAGGCTTTTCTCAGTGGTACTAGGCAATAGAACAAGAGACAATGGGCAGAAACTGGTGCACAGGAAGATCCACCTGAATATGTAGAAGAAATTCTTTACTGTGTAGGTGCCCAAGCGCTGGGACATATTGCTCAGAGAGGCTGTGGAGTCTCTCTCACTGGAGATATTCAAGAACCATGTGGACACAATCCTGTGCCATGTGCTGCAGGATGACCCTGTTTGAGCGAGGAGGTTGAACCAGATGACCCACAGTGGTCTCCTCCAACCTGACCCTGTGGTTCTGTGATTGTAAAGGGGGTCCCATAGGAGATACCAAACGATCATCCAATACTTCCATGGGCAGCAAATTATTTTTCAGAGTACCAGGAAGATCATCTCAATGCTCAAGAGATTTTCTGTTCAGTGCTTCATGCAATGACGTCAGTTATTTTCTGCTTTAATTCAAAAAGAAATCTGTTCTGTTTTTTACCAAAAAAATTCACTAAAATTTTTCCCATTATCATCCCCCTTTTTTAATCACCTAGTATTGTACCTGCCTTGATGACAGATGTCAGGAAACCTGCCCCATTTATTCTAGCCTAAGCAAAAACGCTTTCTTTGAAAACTGCAACCTAGGCGGGAAAAGTTAAACTTATAGTAACTTTGCTTGAAATGCATTGATTTCTTTGGAATGGAGTCATATCTTGAAATGAAACTAAATAACAACCTGTAATAACTAAAGGTAGAGACAGACAAGAAAATGGCTTCAAGGTATAAGCCGATTTATTCTTATAGTGCTCAAGTCTATGGTGAGGTAATACTTATTTTTTAGGTGAAAAGCATTGAAGAAAAGAACAGAGGTAATATTATCGAAGTCACACAGGTAATCCACAGCTAAAGTTCTCAGCTATTCATTGGTGAATGGGAGCTAAAATCTGTCTTCAGGTGTACTCCCTCTTTAATGTTCTGCTCACTCTACAACGAAATCACAGCTGCCCTAAAGTGCAGCTTCCATTGGGGTAGGCAAGTTCTGTGCTTAGTTCACAGGCAAAGGAAAGCAATCAATGTCACTAATGACAGTAATCCCAGCTAACCAGCTGCTGAGCATCACCAGATGGCTTTCCTCTCCAGGATCAAAAAGGTTCACATCTTCTTATCTGGCTGTCCTGAATCCCACATAGCACTTGCTCAGGTACGTCTCTTTTTGTATTAATGTGTTCATTGGAGAGGATAACAAAAAATACTGATTACAGACAAGTCTTATCCTTGAATCCAATGCTATTTTACTGGGAAGAAAAAAGAAAGAAAATTCTCTCCAAAGTTTACACTGGTGAAGGTATGTGACACTATAGAGAAGGCTGCCTGATAACACAAACCAGCATCTTTTGTGTCATAACCACGTATGAAATCACTCTACTGCAGAATGTTTTCAGCTTCTGTGTACTTTAAATGGCAGGATGGTTCATATATCTATCTCCAAATTCAGGAAAAATTATAATGTCTTTTTTTACCAGCTGTTATTCTAACCACCAGAGAAAGCCATTGTCTGTGCCAGGGAGTACTTACAGTAATACAAAAAAACCCATCCTGTAAGTAGCAAGGGGGAAAAAAATTAAATATTTTATTTGATTGTCATCAAGTATGGGTGACTCTTGATAGAGTTGTGGATTTCAGCAGCATCCCAACCCTTCAGTTTAACTGCTCCAGACTTCATTTTTTTTAATGAAGTTTCACCTTCAGTTTTATCAGGTCGTGGTTATAATCTCTGAGTTAGTGAGTTTGAGAGCTGAGATTATCAGCGGTCAGTTAAATATCGATACAAAAAAACATTCGATTATTTTTCTTTTAACTAACAACTGAAAGCCCATGTGCCTTTTCTCATTTGAAGTGAGCAAAACTTCCCTTAAGCATTTGTTTTCTTTAACTACACAAAACCTTTTGTAATTACTGACTTTAACATCCCAGTCAAGATTTTGCAGAAACATGTCAGAGGCTTGTCATGTGTCTCTTTAGTTCTTATGTTCTCAACAAAGGTGTTATGCTGACAGGAGGTTATTAAGTATATTTTCAGCATCAGTACAATTTCTGTCAAGTATTAGTATTTCTCTGCAAGTTTGGGAAATTTTTTTTGCGGGATACTTTTCAACCTTCAGTACACCAACTTTGGTTTTGAGGAGGAAGCCTTGATGGGCCAGAGAGTTATTTTAGCAAGAGATTCAAACTGTTTTGTCAAGACCTTCATGTATTTTGTCACATACCTTGCTGGACTGGCATGTATGGTATCCTAACTGGGTATCAGTGAAATAGCTTACCCCATAGATGATTTACCCCATAGCTGAAAGGCAGAAATCCAGCATGAATGCATTCAAGCCCAGCAAATGGTGGTTGGTGGTGTGGAGACCCACAAAGATGGTTTCATACCTAGTGTTCATACTGAATGACTTCATGAAGGAGGAAGGAAGATAATTTCACTCCTATCCTAGTTCTCCTCACCCCCTTAGTGCAGCTCTTATTTTCTGTGTGTTTCCCATGGCCCAAAAGCACTGCTGTCTCCTTCCAGCTCTCAAGGAATGTATGACAAACCCCACTGACCATACAAGTGCTTCCCTGCTTTTCATCTGGATGCTGATGAAGATTATCCTAATGTATTCAGCCATGGTGTGATCTCAACCTGAGCACTATGTGCAGTTATGGGCCCCACAAATTTAGTAGTAGTTGGAGGTATTTGAATGTGTCCAGAGGAAAGCAACAAAGCTGATGAAAGGCCTAGTACAAACTGTAATGTGACCCCTCTAAACATGCATGTAAATACAAACACTAACCCATTTTTCAGATCTAGTGGGACCACACAAAACATGTTTCTGTTTTACTTTGCCTAAGAGAACTTGCTACCCTGCTTTCTGCTAAAGTGAGAAAAAATGTATTAAATCTCTGAAAATGTCTGTGTCTTCAGGAGGGAATAAGTATTTCTTTCTACCATACTACCTCTCAGAATCAGCAGTTTTTGGACTGCAACCTCTTCTGAAAATAATCCTGTGCTCTTAATACAGCCTTTCACCTAAGACTCCTGCTCTTCAAAAGTTCTTGAGCTCCTCTCAGCAGCAGCTTAAAAAAATGAAAGGGGGGTTCTTATCTTTTTTCTTACTCTCTCAACCTAAAACCTAAACAGCATATCTCCTGCTCTCCTCCCACCTTCTAGACTCAGTATTTCAAAATAACTCTGGAACTGGGCAAGGCGAGAAGAATCGCTTCACCCATGCAGAATCGCACGAACAGGCTTAAAGCGTTGGAAGAGTTTGGTAGAAAATCCGAGCTGGAGCGTGGCTTAGCTGTAATGCTAAGCCAAAAGAAGTGACATGACTGAACTGGTAGAACATACTCAAAAAAAAAAAATATAGTGCAGCAAGTTTCTGGCAGCAGCTTGTTTATTCTAGCCACAACTGTTGGATCAAGCAGAGTAAGTCACTCATGAGTTTGTGAGAGACTTCACTGCTGTGCCACAGGGTGCAGTGGGAGCTCATGCCTGACCTGCTGTTTCTCTCCACTTACAGTTTTTTCCATGTCACACCAGAAATATTGATTGTATCTTATGAAAATGTTCCAAATGTTAAAGAGAAATAATAGGAAATCCTTGATATTTCACTTTCTTTGAAATTAATGAGAACTCAACAAAATGCACTTAATAATGCAGGGCGAGGACTTAAAAGGGATACAATGGAGTGTTTTCTGACACATATTGTACTTCATGTTCTTCAATGTTTTCATATTCTTTTCTCCAATAAACAACCACAACTATGCTACTGTTGCTAGGACTAAACTCAGAAATTGAATTTGTTTCAAGAGCAAAAGAAGCATGGAAACTAAACTCTGCTTTTGGAGAAGAAATATTTTGTATAGGTAGAACTGATCATTCTGAAGGTTACTGTATTTTTTGCAACTATATGTTTTCATTTTGGTGTTAGAAGTACTGCACTTGGGAGTAAGAGGGAAATATTTCTATTGTTCCACAATTAAGACATACTTGATTATATCAATATAGTCAGGATTTTGAAATTTGAATGTTTAAAATTGTCAGAGGTGTGGACTTTTTGTCGTGTTTCCTGTATTTTTATCACTTTCTGCTCATTTTTCTGGATTTCTGTGGTCAAGTATTCAAAGTGAAGCAAGTCATCATGGTTTTTTTCTCAAGCATATTCTCCTCTTCTCAATTAACCACATCACAGTTTAAACATATTTGGTAGTTTTAGATCATGCCACAGCACTGCCAAACATTCATGTGTCACCAGGACAGAGCAATAAAAGCTGGACCGAATGCTGCAACAAAAGGAGGTCTGGGGTGCTAAAAGGATTAGGTCTTCAAAATGCATTTGACAGAGATTCATGTGTCACCAGGACAGAGCAATAAAAGCTGGACCGAATGCTGCAACAAAAGGTGCTAAAGGAGGTCTGGGGTGCTAAAAGGATTAGGTCTTCAAAATGCATTTGACAGAGAAGAAGCAAAACCAAGTCTTCCTTTTTTTTTGTGGGGGGAGGGATGGATCATAACAAAAAATAGAAGTAAAGGTGGAACTAAACCCACAGTATGAGAAATGTCAAGTGTCTATGTGTTGGGACATGTAGGTCCCATTATAAGCAAACTGTGACAATAGTACCAGCAAAACCTAGAGAGCTTCTCAGCTCTCCATGAGGAAACCCATTACCTGAATAAGGTGGAGCCCAATTCACTAATTTCTACATGACAAATATGACTGTAAGTGTGCTCTTTGCCTTTGTTGGAGGACAGGTCTCATCCCAAGGCCCTGCAGTACAATTTACTGATGGGAAATTCTCCTTTCAACTTCTATGGCAGAATGTCCACCTCTTCTGCAAATTCAGGCTCCCTTTCCAAAGCATCTCCTTCTTGTAAGTCATATGAGGAGCAGCTGAAGGACCTGGGGTTGTTTAGCCTGAAGAAAAGAAGGATCAGAGAGGACCTTATCACTCTCTACAATCACCTGAACAGGTTGTAGCCAGGCGGGAGTTGGTCTCTTTTCCCAGGCATCTAGTGGCAGGACAAGAGACTCCCTGAAGCTTCACCGGGGATGTTCTGGTTGGACATCAGAAAAAGGTGGTGAGGCACTGAAACAGTCTGCCCAGGCAGGTAATGGAGCCACTGTCCCTGGAAGTGTTCAAGAAACAGCAGGAATGATTTAGTTCACAAGATGGTGCCCAGTCAGAGTTTGGGCTTGATGATCCTGGAGGTCTTTTCCAGTCTAAATGATTCTATGATTCTATTCTATTCTGTGATTGTTGATATCAAACCAGTTTCTCACAAACAGGTCTAAAGTCCTGCAATAAGATCAGACAAGCTTAAACCCCGTTTATTTTTGAGAAAATAATATTTATTGTTAGCTTAACTATCTTTTACATGCTGCTAATTGGAATGTGGTATTTAAATGAATCCACACTTGTTACTGAAGAGTTATTTTATTTGTGTAAAAGTGTTAATGCCTCAGAAGGTTCTATTTTTAAAACATCTACCATTTTCTCCTTTACTTACCAGCCACAGTAAAATTCATCATATAGTTTTTGTTTCTCCCAGCAGCTACACAGAAGTACATCACAAAGTCAGAGGCTGTAACGTTTTGAAAGACAATCCTGGAGATTTCCTGATCAGAGCAATCCACTAGAGTACATTCTTTGAAACCCAAACCAAAGCTTTGCTTTCCTGACGAGTTGCACAGAATGACAATATCCACCCAATCTGCTTTAATCCTTTCCCACATCCCTCACTGCACTGAATCTCCAATTTTATCAGGGAAAGTAAAAGCAACATTTCCTCCTGGCTTGGTAAACATGGGATTATTTTGTTTCTCAGACACTTCAAAAGCATCTGTTGAAAAACACAAACCCAGCAAAAACCTGCTTATAATTAATTCAAGGGAAGTTTAGTATCCACAATTCCAGTACAGCAAATATTGATGAAGTTGACTTACAGCAGAATGATATCGAAATAATTTGAAATGTTGAAAAATATAATTTATACCTATGACTGTATTTTTGTGCATGTTTAGATAAAACAATCTTTATGGAACTCTGAGTCTGTGATGACATTGGAAGAAGGCTATTTATGTAAACTTTGAGTACATGACTGTTCTGTTAATAGTTTCAGCAAATATTCAGCAGCATAAATTATGGGGCCAATCTAATTAAACTTGGCATAATCTTGTTCTTCTTTCACACTAGTTATAATGAGAAAATGGTTTGATGTGACCCTCAGGACATGCTTTAGTAAATTATTTTAAAAGACATACCAGCCTAAGAGCTGCAATTCTCCCATTCACAAAACTCACGCTACTAAAATTTAAAAAAAAAAAAATAATCTAATCCATTCATACACTCTACTTGGGAAAAGTCTGTATGTTCTGTTTGTCTGTGGTATGAAAGAAGACTTCCAGACAAATTCAAGACTTCAATCACATAGAAACCACAGATATATCTTAAATAATTTTGACTGAAATCCCTTTGAGTTACTGTTTTTATTAATAAAATTTACTGTTTTCTACTTAAGAAAATAAATGTTTAAAAGTCTGCAAGAGAAAGATTGTCAATTTCTCTGGCATTCAGAGCTACTTGATTTCTAAAGTCAGCTTTGTAATGCCTGTATCCCATAAGCTAGGATGAGCACCGTCACATTGCTGAACACTAATGTTGGAAAAGACTAATGATCACACTGATTTTCTTACACTACAAAAGGATCAATCTTTCAAGTTCTTCAATGAGATTTTTTTTTAAGTCACTACACTATATTTTTAATGTGTTTGTCTCTCTCTGTGGTGACTACTGGAAGGTAAATAGGCTACCTAAGAATAAGTGATTCCGTTCATGTTGACAGGATGGAGACTCCATTGTGGGAATCTTCAGAGAGCCTGTCAGTCTCTGTGAAACAGAGAGTGAAAAGGTCTAGCCTGCAATTTTTTATCAATGGAATACAGCACAGAAAATTACATTCTCTCTACCTTTGGAGACTTGAAATATGATTAAAATGTTGAAATGTGAAAGACAAAAGGAACACTGTCTAATGAGTTTACCTAAAATAATTAATGAAGGACTTGAAGATCCATGTAGACTGCATTCAAGGAGACTGAAAGTTAATGACAGCCAAGGACAGAAGAGAGATAAATTCACTAAACCAAACAGAAGGTATAACACAGTGAAGCTAATTAACTCTTTACACAGTTTGCCAAAGACAGCTAAATTTCTGTTACTGAAGTTGACTGCAAAGGCTGGATAATCATTTAAGTTATCATGCAAATTCCAGCAAGAATTTACTCATGGAACTTCAAGTATTATTCAAATTAGGCTGAATGACTGCTATGATGGGACTCTACACTTACAAAATATGTTCCTTAAAGTGCAGTCCCTCAAAATTCACTACATTAAATCAGGTAATGGTTTTTTTATACTCCTTGCAGAAACAGATCTGCAGATTCATTCAGATTTGCTAAGGAAGAGGGATAAATGAAAAAGTGATCAAAACCCATCCTCTCTCTGGAACACTATTCTTAAAGGTCAGATTCTTTCTTCAGACTGCTAACTTCCAGCAACAGCCTGCTTTACAATAAGCCACATATTCTTGCCGAAGAAGTCTTGCCTCATTGTGCAGCCTTTACTCTGGTTTTCCACCAACAGAGCAAGCCTTACTGCTACCCCCATTCCCCTCAGGAGTGTTGACATCTCCCCATCTTCTCCTGGGTACATCCTCACTGTCCTAATTATTTCATTACAGTGTCACCCTGAACTCCAGGTGTTTCTCCTATGTAAACATGCTTAATAGGGAATTTTGTGTTTGATGATGCTACCTCCCACCTTCCAGAGCATTTGCCCCTGACCCAAATGATAGGACCTTATAACAACCAGCATTCTTCCTGCTGCTTTGCCATATATTTGCTAGAAAATTGTACATTGCACATATGGTCAACTGGGAGCAAAGAGATAAAATACTTCCACCAAACAGATGAAAATCCCTTCTGTCTTAAAATTTATTACTTAATTTCTGTGTTATATTTACCAAAAAATATATCCCAGTTGCTTGATCATATATATTATTACAACATTGTAATATACTATAACAAATACATTACAAAGCTAAGGTTGCCTTGCAAATTCAGTGAACATTTTCCATGTAGAAATTTTGATACAACTGTATGTAGTTTGCATGCATACAAATAAAAATATGTTAATAATGAGAACAAGGTACAAGCAGCCAAATTAAAATAGAAACAGTTTGGAGATTCTGGACTGCTGTGCATTCTGTCATGACCATTTTCAAACACAGACGTCATGACTTTTTTTTTTGTTTCTTTATTTGTTTGCATATATATTTTATTTGAAAATGTGCAGCAACATTAATGTATTTTCACTCATGATAAATAATGTATGTATCTCCCCTTATTACAATACGGTACCTTGAACAATTTATAGGATTATATAAGGCACAAACAATGGCAAATCAGGCCTACATAGTTCTAATTAAATCTTCTAAGTATGCTTGAGTATTCCAGGCTTTTGTTTTAAGCAATTGTCCCCTTTATTTTGACAGCAGCATCAGCATAGTTCTTTCATCCTCCTTCTCCTCTGTTCAATCACTTACTTTATTTAGCACCTTTCTAAACACAGTTTCTTTGCTTTCAGCCTGGTAAGTGTGGGATGAAAACCTCCCTCTCCCAGAAACCCTTCTACGGGAAAAAAAGCACACCCACACACCTTCACCCCTGCACACGCGCGGCTCAGGGTTGACACGCAGTGTGTGAGCACTTCAGAAATGTTAAATAAAAATTTATCGTTGCATCTGATAAAAATAGACTCTGCCTTCCTGCTACTCATGCCAGACACTGCCACTGCTGTCTGCTCTGCCCATGGTCACATCATCTTTCTTCCTGAAGAGAAAGTAGGAGGAGGTGACAGCTCTCAGGATAGGTCCATAGGACTCTCCTAAGTAAGGAAGTTGCTCATATGCTTGTTATCCTCCACCAGCCTCTTTGGCAGCATGTTATCATATTTTGCAGTTGTACCTATGCCTATCTGATATTGGGTATTTAAAGGAGAAAAAAAATGCAAGATTTCATAATTTTAGAATTTATTATCTTTCAATATTTTTGTTGGAAAGCAAATATCAGTAATATAGAGGCATAGAACAGTGTAAAGGAACTCTCTGAGATTTAAAAAATCAAGCAACCAAATTAAAATTCTGCAGCAGGGAAATAGTTGAAGTTGAGAAAATCTTCTGAAGGAATAATAAAATAATGGTATAATTTCTCCCCATCCCCTCCTGCTCTTGCTACAAGGACTTAGAAGTCAAAACAACTCTTATGTGAAAGTTTGGTCCCCATTCATTGGTAGAGATATTCAGAATTTCTCAGTTTTTTCATGTCCACATCATTTTTACTTGGTCTGGGATTTTGTTTTTGTTTGGTTATTTTGTTATTGTAGTTGTTGTTTCGGCCTCTGATAGTATTAGTTTATAGTGTTTCTTCAGAGATTCTTTCATTCCCTTAAAAGGTAATGCTTTCTATCAGAAATAACTAATGACCTTAGGAAACTTTTCAAAACCACAAATCTAACTCAGCTCTATAGCAAAGACAGGTTCCCAGGTTCCACTCAGTTTGCTGAAGCTCCACACACAAATACAGTTTTCTTCCTCTGATTGTAATAAGCAGTGACAAAAGAAAATAATTGCACATAGAAAGGAGGCTTAAAATTTTAGGAAGAAAACATTTCTCTGGGGCTCTTCTTTTCATCAAGTAAATCAATTTTCAGAAGAGAAAATATTTTGAATGACCCTTTCACCCTTCCTGAATAGACTAAATAAGGCATTATATTTAGCTTCTAAACTAATGTCTTCCAACTACATTAGCACATACTACATGATTTTGTTATGTTTCTAAAAACACAGGTTTTTAAAAACTCTTTTTTCAGTTTTAATGAGTTACTGACACCAGTTCTACAATTAGACCAGAAACTAGCAGTACTGTTGTGTTTGAAGATGCATTTTACTAATAACAGCTGTTCAGATCACAGAAGCTAAAATGAAGGTATTTATACTCTTATATACTTAAAACATCCCTTTAAATATATATTAAATTATATTGTGAAAAATGCGGTGACTCTTTGTGTAAAAATTAATAATCCTGCATTAAAAATTAAGCACACGATTGTAATTCACCTGCCAATTGCAGTTTGTTTGTATATATTCTATTACTCTGTTGATTTGTTCCTGTTCTAAGCTGAACTTTAGTTGTCTAGAGTGCAAGGAAAGGGAGAAGTCAAAGTGAGGGCAGGAGAAGAGTACAGTTCTAATAAGAATCAAAAAATAATTCTTCAGGTACAAGTAGTAATGAACTTCCAGCAAGGAGAATTTCGTTGCTGGGGAAGAAATCATCTGTTAAAAGCATATAAAGCACTATGACAACATTTACCTGGAGAAGAATCTTGAAGATCTAAGAGGTCAGATTTCCATCCTTTCATCCACTTTCATCCCATCCAGGTATTTCATTGGTTCAGGATGAAGAGAATTTTACCAGCAACAGGAGATCAAGGAGCAGACAGGAGTAAACACAGGATACTGTGCTCAGCCTTCACCTGTGCTGTCTCAGAGTGGCAAAAGGGAGAGAAATGCTGTGCTGGGACACTGCATTGCATGTCACAGCCTGCATGTGTGAGTGTGTGTGTGCATTTGTGCCCAGCTAGTCACACCTGCCACAAGGATCTTCAGAGATGTCCAACAGGCAGAGCAGAGGATGGCATGGTTGAAGCCACAGAGAAAATAGGCAGGGGAAAAGGGAAGGGAAGGGAAGGGAAGGGAAAAATTAGGCTGGATCCTAAGGATGACTTGTTGGAAC